TCGCGTGAAGAGGAGGTTCTCGGCCCAATTGAGACGCACACCAGGGAACCACTTGGGGATGGCGTCTATCGTGAGCGATTCATCCACAACAGAGGTTGGACGCCCTTCGTGGATCAAATTGGCGTAGTCAAAGAGATGGCCATAGAACGTGGCGCGGTTGGCTACTGTCCAGTTGTGGAGGTCGTTAAAGGTCTGGAGTCGTGTAAGCGGACGGACTAACATTTGGGGGGGAATCGGGGCATACTGACCTTGAGCTGGAGGTTAAACTTGGAATTGACCGATTGTAGATATTGGTACATTTGTGTGCTCTTGGGATCCGGGTGCTCCCAGAGCTTGCGGGGGATCTCGTGGGCGTCCATGATGTTTGTTCCCTTTCTTGTGTTGAATTAAAGGTGTGATGTTGGGACAAGAGCTGTCATTCGGAGTTGGGTGGATGAGATGAGGGAAGGGACGACCAGGGAAGACGGGTCCGTGGGGAGGTTGGGGTATATCGGGGAGTTTGGCGCGCTTCCCCAACGCCCAGGGTGGACTTGCCTCGGGTTGTGGACTTACAGGGAATGCGGGGTTGGCGGCCCGAGCTAACATGCCGAGAGGGGCCGATCCGGCCCGCTTGGCGTGACCGCGACGGGATGCCGATCAACGACCTTGCATTCTACAAAAGGTTGAGTCAGCTACAGTAATCGCGGAGAGGAAGACCACGACACGAGCAGTGCTAACCCAGGGGATCTTCAGCGCAAATAATAGGCTCCAATACTTTCTTGGATGTTTCGCAGCAGACACTTGTCCGAGAGACCCCACTACCTACCTTGGGCGATTGAGCAACAAAGGCGTTAGCACGATGAAAAGGAATAGGGAGTAGCTTCTTCCAGTCAATAAAACAGTAGCTTGATGTACTGGGTATTAAGCTCAGTTGATGTTTGACGATAGCCGCTTTGCATGTGCAGAGCATGCTTGACGCGATTCCATTCCACCTGGTGAAGGGGTAGCGCTCAAGGCGAACATCGGTAGGACAGTTACTTTCATGTGGCACCTTCTTTTTTTCAGATTTATTTTATTCAGCAACTCGTCGATATTATACTCTTACAAGTTCTGCATGATCCTCCATGCCCATTCCTTTGCTTCTTGGGCATTATACTTGGTCTGTCCGTCGCCGTTGTACACAAGCCACCTTATTGGTACCGACATCTCAATATCTTCATGTGAGAGATTTGAGATAGTCTTTCCAAGCTCAGTCGTCCATCGGTGACAGTTGAAGTACGTGTCGACCATCGCTTGCCATCGTGCTGGTTTCAAGAATCTGGTGTCTACAAGGTTGTCGAATATGATGCGACTGAGCTTCAAAGCTGCTCATTCTCGGCTTGACGACGAGACGAGGCCATCGTTGCGTCATGTTCCTCCAGTGCCTCGGCCAGCTTTTCCTTTTCCGCAATTTCCTTGTATGCTTGAAAAGCCTCAACTCTGGCCTTCTCGTTGTGGCTTCGGACAAACTCACCCAGAGTTGCCACCTGACCATCCGCGACACTCTGGGACCAGGCCTTGAGAGCGTTCCAAGACTCTGGGTAGGAAATGATGTCGCCGTAGTCGTCTTTCATGTCGTTCTTCACAATGACCAGGAAGGTTGCCTCGTCGTGGTCAATCCAGCAAAGACGAAGTCGAGCATCGAGCATCTTGTTGACCTTGGCCATCTGTCCTGCGTTGCGGTAGATGTATTTGGCCGCGTCGGGACTGAATCGATCGGGAACTCGGACTTCGAAAGGGTATCCATCCTTGTCGAGGAGTATCTTGTCGCCTCCGCAATCTTCCCAGTACTCCTTGAGGTCCTTTCTTGCCGCCAAGACCATTGACTCGAACTTGCTGGGTGGCAAGTTCACGACGGGGGCACTAGGCGCGGGCGTGGGCGTGGGCGTGGGCGTTCCAGGGTTTGCTGCTCCCGGTTGGAGCGGAGAGAGCATGTTGGGTGCATTGGCAGGAACCGCTGGATTCTCGTGTCCGTCATTCTGGGGCTCGATGTCCTCCACCTGGGCGTCCTTCTTGGAAGACTCTGCTGCTCCGACTGCGGGAGAGGCCGCCGACACTTTCTTCTTGGGAATTCTGTGCTTGTTGTGCTCGTAGTAGATGGGGTGATTGGCCTTGAGGTAGTTGGAGTAGCCCACGTCAAGTTCCTCGATGAAATTCTGGGGCGGCGTGAGTCCCAGCGTGTGAATAGGCTTCTTCAATTGAATATCCGGACTAATTAGTTATCTGGAGCGGCAGACGGTTCGTGTAAGTCACTGGTCTTCTTGTAGAACTCTCGCATAGCCCAGTACTTGATCGCGCTTGTGCCCATCCAGATCCAACCATTGCTCTGGAACCATGGGTACAGCTGGCGTACCATCTCCGGCCAGGCTGCTTTGAGGTTCATGCCCTCAAGCATGAAGTTCTGACCACCGGTGATCAGGATGAGCAGTTGGTTGCAAGCGTCCGTCTCGCTCTCGTCAGCCAAGTTCCGGTCACCAATGGATGGAATCCAGTCCACAGCGCGATTAGGGTTTGGGGCGCCGACTGCGCGGAACAGCGGCGCGGGGTTGTCGCCATTGTTGCCCGGAATGGACGCCATTTTTATCGTGAAAATCGATAAAAAAGCAGCCTTTTCGGTTTTGATGTGATGAGAGAAGAGTGGGAACGTGGGAGAGAGGAAAGGAAATGGGTGAATGTGAGATAGACGCGGTGCCCGTTTCGATATGGGCCCGCAAATTTGGCGGTGTCTTTTGGATTCTCAAACCCTATGTGATGACTTGGTTGACACTCTACTGTTGGGGCGGTGACCTCTTAGACGCGCTTTAAATGAGTGAATAAACAGAATTCTCGTTGAATCGACGGGGCAGTTGACGACACTTGAGGTTGCTGTGGGTAGCAGTACCAGACGACGTCACGCCGGTTACATTCTTCACGAGCAAGGCAAATGTTGCATGAGATACTTTTCACAACGAGTCATCTTCACGCGGTCATGGTAGAATGTGTCAAGCGATTATTTCATTGACCGAATGGAGCTACTCTGTGTCGCCTCTCCCTTGATGCCCCCGAATGATGTAGCTCAATCCTCCTCGCGCTTGGTGCTGGCGCCGGGCTTCTCGGAGACAACGGATCCCTTGGCGATGATGCCAGGCTTCTTGGTATTCTCGAGGGTGTTGATACCGACTGCCTCGACGTCCAGCTCCTCGACGACGGTGATCTTGAAACGCTTATTGGTTTGGTTTTTTTTTTTTTTTGGAACCCTGGGCCTGCCAATTCTTGTGGAAATAAGTCAATGCTTTCTTGCCGTTGTTCGCCTGGACGTAGATTTTCTTGTCGGCGTCGACCACGACTTCTTCATCTGAATCGAAGCGACTGACTATCTCTTGCAAGTCCTCAATGTCTACAAAGTACAAATTAGAACTGCTGTTATCTTGGATGCCTGAAATTGGCTTCGCCATCACATGACCGCACCAGATACTAAAGAAAGGTGGACTAAGAGCCGTGCAATGACCTTTGGTTCTATTCGTCAGATTCAAGTTAACTGCGAGTCCATATCCAACCTGCCTTAGGCACCCATAGGCACCCTCGTTCGTTTGTCTGGGTCATTTCCACTGTTCGTGGTACGGACGGGATTTGCACGACATCAGAGCCGTTGGGCTCTCTGGTATGCTTGTGATGTTGGAGGGGAATAGAGGACTGTTGCTCTTCCCATTTCGGATTGCCATATATTAGCAGGATTCTTGGTACCAAATTTGAGTCTCTAGTTCCATAGAAACCCCTGGGCTGTTCTAGCAATGGATACGGTAACGATCCGGTGTCGTCGGATTTGTCTGTAAGTTCCGGTTCAGACCCCCGTTGAAGTCCGTGAGGCGCCGGATGTCTGTCCAGTCGGATTTGTTCCTGAGATGCCTCTTTCGGCATGTGGGGGGGTGCTAATCAACGCTCCCGTCCTCCAGCGGCAGGTTCTCCACTTCAGCGACAGGAGGAATTCTCTAGCGAAAGCGCGTATGCTTCCTCCAACTACGGTATGCCACGCATGGCTGGGTTGCCAACAACGATGTGACCACCATTGTTTGCTTCTAGGTGCTGTCAAGAAACCTCGTCGGGAGCATTTCGACAGCACATTCTTGCAGGAAATGGTCAAAGAGGACTGGGTCTCCCTCGGGTATCAAAGACCGTCTCGTCGGATACAGTCACCTCGGCAGGCTGCGTCTCGACGAACCACTGAGAATGATTTGGCTGTTTGCATACCGCGCGGTGTCGTCTGCTCGTCGACCTGCGAGATCCGTCTCGGCCATCCTGCAATTGAGGGGATGGCGTTGATGTGTCGTCTGCTCGTTGAACTGCTCGGTTTCTACCCCGGCCGTCCTCGAACAATTAGGGAGTCAGCGTGGGTGATGCCGTCTCCGTAGACTTGCTACCATCCAGGTCTTAAGCCCAAGGTCTCTTTGGATTGCTGAGAAGTCGACGTTGCCGTAGTATCTGCGTCAGTCATCTTGATCTCCTCAAAGGACTGGAGAGTCAGCACTGGCGAGGTGACGGAAAGGTTCCAGATGGCTGGCACAAACTCCCCCTTGAGACCACTGTGGCCATGGAGAGTATCATACCCGGGATTATGACTGGATGCCTTGACGCTCGCAACCTGACTCCTAGCCGCGATAGTAGCTCTGATGCTAACCTGCCATGATAACAGCGAATCGTAACCTCTCATCCTGAATGGTGATCCCAACCGCCAATCCTGACCTCTGATCATGTTTACTGAACCTTTCCGCTGGTCGTTGCGTCCGAACCTAACCTCCGAACCCGACCTCTGAGCCTAACCTCTGATCCTAACCAATTCCGCATACCATACATCTAATCCTATCACTAACCCTAACCAGCATCATATGCCTCCATCTTCGTCTCAATCCATCTCAGCACATCTACCACGTAGCACTAGCCGTAGACCTTGTGCCGTGGGTGCTCAAACTCGCCAAACTCTGTGAATGAGCGCCAAAGTCATGCCCCTACGACAAGGAAAGCTTCCATCCAAACCTGTCAATAATCTCCTGCCAGTCTTGATCCGTGGACGTTGCGCCGCCACCGTCAAAGTCCCTTGTCTGCCAGATTGTCCAAACAACCCTCTTCACCGTCGAGATATTGCTGATAGGCCACTTGCTGTCCAGAAGGTTAAATAGATCAAGAACAGCCTTGCGGTGTGCGTCACTGGAACTGACACACCCCGCGATGAACAGCGGCCACATTGGAAACGATCGCCTCGGCTGGTCCTCGACAATCACCTCGCCAAGATGACCCAACAGCGTCTGCAACAAGTGCGGAATCGCCCGAGTCCGTACGGTAGCGCCGTACACAATCAGCTGGAGGTAAACCAGAGCAGCGAACCGAAAGCACTCGGCGCTTTTGACGAGGTAGTCGTCGTGCACGCTCTCGGCGGAAAAGTCCAACTCTCGAATGCGTCTCTCGAGACGTGATCCCTCTTCCGTGTACCCGCCGTCCTTTTGAGCCCCTGCCGAGATCATGCTAATCAACTGAACTAGCTCCATCGAACAGCCGATTTGGGGGTCGATGGTCTGGAACGTCCCTTGGCCTGGCAAGAGCCGTTCGAGGCGTTGGATGGCTTCATCACAGTCGTCGGTCTGTCCATCATGATGCGGCGCTTTACATCCGGTCGTCTTCATCAAGACGTATCGAAATCGAAAATACTGGAGCGCGAGAGCGGCGCACTCAGGCGTGATCCAGTCGCCGTGGTTATCCATGATGGCCAGAGCGCCCCGCAGATGCCTCAACCACGACGGGCGAGACCCCTCGGCTATCTCCAAGGAGGCCTGGAGCACACACGTCAGGAGGTTCTCCTCCGCCTCGAGGGCGGTGTTGAGCTTCGACTGCAGCTGCGTCAAGGCGTTGATTTTGTATCGGATGGCCGCCCCGGCATAGTCTACCCCGTCTTGCGGGGTCCTCCGAACCATTTCCGCCGCGCTCAGTGCTAGGACGGTAGAAAAGAGAGGGCCGCTGCTGCTCAGGAGTATGGGCATGACGCACGTCCGGAAGAGGTTCCTCTCGCTGGGGACATACACCCGGCTGTTGCTAATGACCTCAAAGTCTGTCTTGTCAGAGCGGCTGTCTGGCGTAGACCTCGACTACTTACAGTACTGAACCATCATGCTTTCTCGTCCGCCGGGGAGCGTGCTTGACTTTGGCAGCCAGCCCAGAGCCGGCGTGAGCTGCTCTTGAGACGACGGCAACACTCCTCTGGGGCCGTCTGCGTACTGCTGACAAACGAGAGCCAGCTCGTCGCTTCGAAGGTTCACAAAGGAATCGCTCGCCGGCGACTCCAACGGCGCGATGAAGTGGCCCGATGCCACGGAGAGGAGAAACTTGGACGGCGAAGACTGGCTTGACTTGACGTACACACACACGACGCCGTGTCTGCGACAGCTGGCGCACTTTGGCTTCCCTTCATCGCACCTCCGCTTTCGCCGCCGACAGTCCAGACATCCGGTTCGGCTCCGGGTCCCGTTGCCGGCCATGTTTCTTGATTGGTGGGTCTACGACGTGGTCATGGCCTGGTGGGAGAGCCATGAGATCATGCTCGGACGACTGATTTGATGAGAGATGCAGGTTCCAACAAAGGTGTCCTCCGACTTGACGCCGAAGACCCCGGTCCGCATTATCGGGGTAGATAAGGGGGGCTCCGTGTTGAGATGCGGGGATGGTCACCCGGGATTAGGTAAGCAGACCGACGATGGTACAGGGATGTGAGCTCGACTTCCCGAGGCCTTTGACTCTCGACGACAACGGCAGACGTCCAGGTCTGTGGGTCAAGAGAGAGTCTGGGGAACACATCAAAGAAACTGCCATCCCAACCGTCTTGCGGCGAGTTTAGGACTCCGGGCCCGCTGGGCTGGGGTGCCTTGACTCGCTGGGTCGTATCCGTCGTATCTTCCAACTAACATGCTTTCCGAATCCGAGGCGACGGACTATCGGATGAGGGGCCGTAGTCTCTGAGAGGGCAACACCATGCCTTTACATCTCACGAGAAAACATGTCTCTAGAGAATTCCGAAGATGACCTCGCCCCTGAGCCTGACGTGCCGGTGCGTGCTCTAAGGCGATGCCGGAGATTACATCTGAGACTGCAGAACATGACTGACACCCGTGCAGGGCGACACGGATTCAACCATCGGGAGTGTACGCAAGTTTCCATGCCTGGTGAGCCCTCTACTCACGGGATAACAGGACGAGTTCTCTGCTACGACAAGCCTCCGAAGCTCCATCGTCGATTACCGCGTCGAAAACGGCAGAACGTATCATCGCTACAAAGAAGGCAGTGAGTCGCAAACCCATTCCCCCAAGATGCCGTCCTAAACAGCCCTCAGAGTACTTTGGGCCAAACGACGAGCTGGAAACCGATCGGCTAGACCTGCAACACCACCTGTTCCTCCTCACATTCGACAACAAGCTGGGGTTCGCGCCTCCGAATGATCCCGAGTGGAAGGGCGGCCGCGTGCTCGACGTCGGGACGGGCACCGGCATCTGGTGCATCGACTTTGGCGACGAGCACCCCAACGCCGACGTCCTCGGCTTCGATCTGTCGGCCACGCAGCCAGAGTTGTGCGTTGCGAAGCCCATCCTGGCGACATAGCTAACAGCGGCTCCCAGCGTCCCGCCCAACGTTCAGTTCGAAGTAGACGACCTCGACAACGAGTGGATCTACTCGAGGCACTTTGACTACATCCACATCCGCGGCATGTCAGGAAGCGTGCGCAGCTGGCCCGAACTTCTCAAAAAGTGCTACGAGTATGCCTAATCTCGTCAACCCGCCGGCTAAACGCATCGATGCTGTGCTAACATCAGCGCAGCAACCTCAACCCCGGCGGCTACATCGAGCTCCAAGAAGTAGAAGAGACAATAACCCGCGCGGATAGCTCGACATCCGCGAGCGATGCCTTTTCTCGATCACTCGCCTACGTCTCCTCGGCCCTAAAAGTCTTTGGGTGCCCCTTTATCCCTCTCGACGACCTCGCGACGCTCATGACGGAGACGGGCTTCAGCGACGTCCAAGACCGCCGCTTCATCTGGCCGCTCAACAGCTGGCCGCGCAATCCGCACCTCAAGGAGCTCGGGTCGTGGACGCGCGAGAACCTCGCCTCCAACACGGCTGGCATGATCATGGCGCCCATGACGCGGGTGCACGGGTGGAGGGAGGAGGAGGTGCACGTCTTTGCCGCCGAGGTGCGGAGGGATCTCGCTGATCGTGGGAATCACGCGTACTGGCCACTGTGAGTTGACTGACTGCCGGTGATGATCACTTGTGAAGTTGAAGATGGTGGCAGCAAGACTGACATGCTATAGCCGCGCTATTTGGGCCCGAAAGCCCGAGACGTCCGAGTGACCCCGGCGAGCCGGTGCATCCGTTGCTTCGGACGTTGTCACACCGAGTCAACCCCTACGAACACCGCAGTCACATGCAAACACCACTTCTTTCAACTCGTGTTCTCATTCAAGCCATCATTACACGACTACATAGTTGAACAAATGCCAGGCGCCGCATGAGGGTATCCAATCAAACCCCCCTACTCCAATGAGCCCCTCCGAAGCCTGAAAAAACCCATCCGGCCGAAAACGCCGTTTCATTAACACACACGAAATCCTGAGCCTCCCTTTTTGTTTTGCTCTATCCCGACTCCATGTAGTGCAAAGTATGCTTCCAACCAGAAAATCCCATCGTGAATTTGTAAAGATGCTCCCAAAGGAGTCTATATGCGAATGTAAAATGCAAGAGCGCAAAACGTGAGATCATGCGCGTTAGGCGAGGGTGGCAATTTCAGCTGCACCGTCGCCATCCTTCGTAGTCGTGTCCACACCGGCCGCCGCCCAGTTCATGGCGTCGTTCATGCCATCTTCCCCAAAAACGTTGGCCATGAACCCGTCGTCTGTGTTGTTGACGCCCTCTGGCGGGAACTGGAGCCACTGATCAACATCAAACTCTGTGCCCGTCATGGCGTTCCAGTCAATCTCCTCTTGGGTTTGCAGGAACTCGAGGTCGAGTGGGCCGGGCTCCTCGGTGCTGCCGAAGCTGCCGTTGGCGCTGGGTGTCATAGCCTCAAGCGAAGACTCGTGGTCCTTCTCGGTCGGCGGCGGGCTCTGCGCAGACAAGTCGAGCGCTGCGGCGTTGATGGTCTGCGGCAGGAACTCGCGCTGGGGGTTCGGCTTGTTGGCGAAGAGGGCCTCGCCGGTCGTCATGTAGGGGATGTTATCGGGCGGGGGCGTCTGCGCGCCAAATGTCGGCTCGGCAAGCTTGAGGTTCTGCTGCGTCATGGGCGCGGTGGTCTGCTGAAGGTTAATGTCAATGGCAGCCTTGCGGAGGGCCGCATCGAGGAACCCGGTGGCGTAGTCGGCGGCGGCGTAGATCTCGCGCAGCTTCTCCATGACACGCATGCACTGGCGGAAGCCACGAGTGGCGCGGTCTCTGGACTGCGAGACGGGATTCTTCATTTCCAGAAGATGAATGATCATGGCCGGCAGGATGACGGTCACGCCGGTGGTGGGGAGACACCTCTCGAGGCGGAGCTGGTGGAGCTCGGCCGCCATCCGGGTGACGTGCATCGCGGCGTCGCGGACCCGGAGCCGGGACATCTCCTGCACCTGCCGGGAGGTTGTCGGTGCGTGAACTGGAGACGACGGCAGGAACTGCGGGCGATGCAGGGCCGAGATGGTGGTGTAGTAGACCATGTGCAGCAGGGTGCGCTGGACGGCAACAGTCGACCGCCCGTTCTTGACATCGAGGGGCGTCAGGGGCCTGTACTGGCAGATGGCGGGCAAGGTGTCGGCCCAGGCCATAAGCTCCAGGTCTACCGAAGTCACGCTCTCGACGTTGTCGAGCTTCTTATTCGGGAACAGCATCATGGTGCTGTTGACGGTGTTCTCCGGGCGCATCTTGTCGCGGATGAGGACGGAGTACTGGGCCTTGAGCATGTGGCTGATGCAGATACACAGCTGCGCCTTGGAGATGCACAGGGCGGCCAACTCCCGCTGCATCGAGACGTCGCGGAGCAGCATGCACTCGGCGGGAATGATCTGGTTCTCCTCGGGCAGAATCTCCAGCTCAAAGTCGTTCTCCTGCAGCATCGGCACGTCAAAGTCCTCATCCTTGATGCGGGTGGGCCTGCGCATGCCCAGGGCGATGAGGCGGTCGCGCATGAAACAAGACCACCAGATGCGCTTCCACAGCTTCTGCTTACGAACCGGCATGCTCGTGGCGGCCGGGTCGCGGTGCAGGCCAATGGTGTGGGCCAGCGAAATGGCAACACCCATCCAGTGCCATGTGTCCTTTTGGTCGTCGGGGGTCTCGTACCAGTACGTCATCAGAAGAAGGGCCTGGACGAGGACGAGGCGATCCGACTCGTAGTCAAAGTCGTAGAGCAGCTGCAGACGAACGTTTAGCATGTGAAAGGGTTGAGCGTGGGGGTGACCCCTGTCGCTAGCGCGGCGTCAAAGAAAGTTCAGGGACGGGCCACTTACCCTCGTCTTCTGGAAGAAGGCCTTCCTGGCGGCTTTCCGCGTCGGGTATCCCGCCTCGCGAAGGACCTTCATGTCGACAAAGGCGGTGGCGGAAAACATGACGGCCTGATACAAGAACAGGCTGATCTGACCGCACAGCCCATCCTGGGCGTTGATGATGGCCAGAAAGTCGTACAGCTCGAGCAGCGGCATGTACGGATGAACGTATTCGACGTAGGACTGGAGCAGAGCATTCTGCAACGGTAGCGCAGGCAGAGTCAGGGCACCCTTTGCGTGCAGGTAGGTAACATCCTCCTGGGCGATCTTGGCGGGTAGCGGTTTCACAAAGGCCGGGAGCTGGCCGTGGAGGTCGGGCTCTTCGAGGGAGGCGAGGAATTGACTCGTTCGCCCGTCGCCGGCGCCGCCTGCACCGCCCATGCCGCCAAAGAGAGAGGCCTGGGCGAGTAGGTTGGATAGCAAACGACGAGAGTTGCCATCTGCTGACGCTGCGGCCGCAGCAGACTGCAGCTTGGTGAGCAGCGCTGCGCTGTCATGACGGTAACCCGATCGTTGATCTAAGATTCACAAGGTCCCGTGGTCAGCGAGTCGTCCCAAAACATTGACCGCTTTGGTCTGGGGTGGGTTGGACGATGATAATGACTGCAGACCAAGGCTGGCATGTGAATGTGGATTACGTGTGAGAGGCTAAGGGACGTGGGAGGGACGGAGCTGGGGCCGCGGACGGAGTGCGGAACGGAGGGGGGGGTACGCTGAAGAATCAGGAGAGACTTGACTGGACGAGGAAAGGCGGAGAAAGGCCCCAGGTCACGGGGTAGGAAAAGTCCAAGACGCCCCTCCACACTTTACCCCGTTCCGTCCCCTCCCCCAGTCTGAGCCCCCCAGACAGGGCAGCGATGGGCAAAACCAGGAACAAAAAAGAAGACACAACAAACAGGGGGCGCAATTTGGATGTGCGGCGCGGAATTGAAAGATCCCACGCTAGAAAATTGATTCCAAAAAAAAAAAGGGTGTTGCAGGGCCAAAAAAAGAATTGTGCGACAGAGACGAAGGCAAACTTACAGATCATGTGCGGAACGTGACCCTCGATTCCGTCTGAAGAGCCGCCGGGTACCGACAGGCCCCCGAGAACACCAGGGCCAATTCCAACGCCGATTCCGTTTCCTCCTGCAGATCCTGAACCAGCAGCAGGAGCAATGCCGGCACCAATGCCAGACGTCGCATTCAGGGGCACGCCGGAGGATGCGGGAACGGGGTTCGCGGCGATGGAGCCGTTGACCGAGGCCACCGAGGCATTGCTAGGTCGGCGCAGTTCCGCGCTGCTGTGAATGTTGATTGGGTTTGCGCCCTTGGAGCGCAACTGTGCCTCGGCTCCCACACCATGGTGCCCCGCCGTGCTGGCAGTCAACAAGTTCTTCCTACAAACGCGCCAAGAAGTCAGCGGGGGTCAACTTTGCGGGATTGGGGGTTTCCCCATGGGCGTCATGTCGGCATCCCCAATCGTCCGCCTGCATCGTGCCGAGGCACCGGCGAGTTGCGAGATACCGGACTTCGGTCGCGGACGAAGATACGGAGACGTCAAACTCACTTTCGTCGGCGGCTCTCCTGGACAACGCACTCGACATTGTCCCATCTGCAGTTGCCGCAGGGCGCGCCTTCAACCACGTCGCAGCGGACCTTGCGCGCGCGACAGCTCACGCAGGCGCGGGCGGCTCTGCGCTTCGTAATCTTGGTCGGGGGCGCTCCATCCTTCAGGTCCGCGTCCGATGATGAGCGCTTCTTGCTCTGCTCCTGGTCCGAGGAGGTGTCGTTGGCGTCGTCGTTTTTCGGGTCCTCGGCAGCCTCGGCGGGCTCTTCCGTGGTCGCCATCGTCAGCGCCGATAGATCGGTGGCCGGCTCGGGAGCAGGCGTTGCCTCGGGAGCGGTGGTGGTAGTGGTGGTGGTGGTTTCGGTCGCCATTGTCGCGGCACTCAAGCAGTCTCCCCTATTTAGAGACTGCTCGTTGAAGAGGCCGTTTGCTTACAAGTAAAGTAGAAAGGTGTCGTCAGTCTCGGGTGATGGCCGAGATTATAGATCAAGAATCGTCTGTGATGTCCGGAGACTCAATACGTATGGAAGCGGCTTGTAGATGTAAGGGGCTCGCATATACGGGCGGCGGATGAGCTTTGCGTACACGTCGTCAAAGCTGGGGCGGTAGATCCTCGTCTTGAGGCAGGACACAAACGTAAACAACAGAACAAGGCGGAACGAGGTTGCGTTGAGATGAGCATTGAATGTTTCCAAGCCTGATACTAAATGTTGCTGCTGCTATGGGTGCGGACGACCCTTTGGTTAGAGACCTTGTGTGTGGTGTGTCTGGGGCGTGTGTCTCGTGATTTGGTGGTCGATGCTGTGTTGGGCAAGGTCTGGAATTGGAGATGCAAAGGACGAGGCAACATCAAGCTCGAATTGTTTAGAAAAGCCGGAGCTACGGGCAAATGCTCGAGGTGGGAAAAGGGCAGCAAAGGAGAAGCGGGAATGTGGGGTCCAAGGGTGCGAAGGGGATGGGCGGAGGTATTATATTATTCCAATGGGATCAATCTTTTTGCAACAGACAGCCTGGAAAGAGAGAAACTGGGAACGGACTCTCTTTCTTTCGTCTGGAATTCCCACGAGGTATCCTTTGCTGTGTGTACCCCCCCCCCCCCGGGCCTATGGAGTCAAGGACTGAGGTACACCCCCTGGCGGCCCCCTCCTCTTTCTGGCTCCTTTCACTCTCCGATCCATTGACGAGACTAGGCCGGGCGAAGAAACGAGGGAGGCGGAACACCCCTGCTCCTCCCCAGCTGCCCAGCTGCACCATTCTACACCTGGCAAGGTCAGGAAAAAGGCAGAGGGTAATAATTAAAGCAGGACCACTTCGACCACAGAACGACGTGGATCTCTGCGTACCCCGAATTATGGGGAAACGAAGCTAGCATTAGCAAGAACAAGTGCAAAGCAGCAAAATATGAAGAAGTGGACAAGAGTTAGTCAGGCTTGAGACAAGGATGCTGGATGAGACGGAGCGCCAGACTTTGAAGTTCCCTGCGGTGCTGCGGTACCTTCCTTACAACCTACAGTACATATGTACCACAGTACGGAGTAGAGAGAGTACGTATCGGGGAGATTGTACGTACTCCACACGAAATACCTCACCTTCCCTCACCTCGAGGTCTCCCGTCCGCACGTCTTCACGATGCCACACTACGAAGCACTTTCCCACCGAGATTGTCTGCTTGCATTCCCTCCCATTCCACGCCATGACCTCGACGCCCTCGAGCTGTCAAATCTGTCTTGTCCGATGACCCGTGACCTGCATCGAGCGCAGTGACACAGAGACCACGGGACGTTGTTGCGTTTTCCAGGCCTGCCGTTGGACCTTGACCGGGATTGGCTGAGAGAGGGAAGCGTGGAACCAAGCCGCACTGCGCAATCGCTGCGCAATGTCAGGGCGCTCTTACATCGTTCTGCATCGATGTGTTCCATTGGTGACGGCTACTGACTGCTTACCTCACGGTGCCACGGCCTGCAGAGTCGAGACTACAGACTGACAGACGCCATGGGATTCTTCATCCAGCGCCTCCCCGTCCGCCACGGCGAAGCTCGCGTGTGCTTCTCCTGGTGGTGGTGTTCCATCCCATATATCCTTTGTGCCACCTTCCATCCATCCGGTCGAGCCAACCACTGCGCCGAACATGGCAAACGAAATCTCACAACCTCCAACTCTATCACTTCCTGACCTCATCTTTGACACCTTCCAGCGCATCAGCAGACAACCTACAACCAAACAGCCGCCGCGCCCGCTGGCTTGCTTCGGCATCATCGCATGTGAAGCCAACTGCAGATGTCGTAATCGCAACTCCCACCATCCCTGCCTCCTTCCAGCCAAGCTTGCATCTTTGGCCGTTTGGGACGCAGTACGTAGTAGCTGCGAATCTCTGGGGGCTCGGGAGGGGGTTGAACATGAGGGGCGCCGCGGCTTCCATAGTGGGGTGCCTGCCTCTCTCACCGGGCAGGTTATCACAGATCGTCGAGGCAAGTCATCTCGAGCACAGAGTCCATACAACCAAGGGCCAAACTCTACTGCGCCCGTCAACTATCAAATCGTGACAACACCCGCCGGCCTGCATTCGAGATTGCTGTCGACTTGCAGTTTGCGGCCTCGTACATGAGGCAATACCTGATTTTCCCGCCCGTAGGCAACTGGCGCACCCCGGCCGATCCTGCCCCGATCCCCTCTGCCCTAAGGTAAGCTACGTACTTTGTAGGAAACCCTCTCTTTCCCGTGAATCCACCCGCACTTGCTCTAAACAAATGACTGCTGTTGCTTCCTTCCTTCCTGGGCCCAGACACGATGGGCAGGCACTATGGGAAGGCGGCCTCTTTGTTCGTTACCACTTTCCTTCAGAGTCCAGCGTCTCCAGTGCTCCTACCATTTCGTGTTATCAACAATGGACCCATGCCTGCCATATCTGCTGCGTAGTGTGATGTGTCTCAGCAGCTGCAACACGTCCACCTTGCCGCATCGACGCTAGCTCCTCCATGTCGCCATGCTACGTACCGCCACGCCACAGCCTAGAACTTGACCTTCTCCAGAAAGCTCACCCGGCCCCAAAAACAACAAACAGACCAGCAGGCCGATCTCCTTCACCGCAAAACACCTGTTGTCGCTAGAGACTCGCTAGCCTTCTATCCTCCGTACTAGGTAGGGAGTCCAGAGTCCACAGTCCACAATTCACCTCCCGCGGCCCCGTATCCGACTGACCTTCTCCGCCAGATCCATTTCTCCCCAATCCCGTATGTGTCAAGACGAGGCCCGGACGACAGCAGGAAATAGGCAAAGCCTTGGCTTGAGGAGGCTTGGGTTCTTGGGGACCTTGGTACTCCAGTCCCGGTCCCAGTCCCCGTCGCCAGAGTTCCTGGAATCCAAGGGACGAATCGTCATCCAGGGATCATGACCTCTTCCTCCACGGCCTCCACCCGAACGCAGCAACCCAGGCCCTTGACCCCATCTCTCGTCACTCACACCTTGTGGAGAACGGCCAGCCGCCAATCACCAACCTGCAGCCGTGCCGTTGGCTGCCCCAGGGCTGGAACAAGTACTCCTTGAGGCGCCGCCCTCAGTACGGATACCTGCCTCTAGGTACCTCGTCCACCGGGTCACTATTTACCAGAGTCCAACATCACTAACCAGCGCCAGCCTCGCGAGTCAGGTCCAATCGAGTCAGCTCCGGTGTGGGCTCCCAGGATCACGCCCAGACACAGGCACCACAGCCAGTCCACCTCCGCTCACCGCAGCATCCAACCACAGACGCCTACATAATCCTTAGCCTATCGTAACCCTCATTCCCCCAGTGGCCCCCTCCAACTTTAAAGCATCACGAGCCGCTCTGCAATTTTTCACACCTCATCTCAAACTGCACCCGTGCCATTGGGTCAATTGCGCCTACCCTTAGTCACCACTCGTCACTCGTCGCTCACCACCAACGGACCGTGGCCGATGCGGCATTCTGGGCAGGTGTCCCAAGGCAGTCAAGCGCAGCCAGCCTCAAGCGATGGCCGGCGTGTCTGGCGTTTTTGTGACTGTCTGAGGACACCACTCCAGCCTCGGGTTCTGTCATAATTCTGCACAACGCAGCATCATGACACCCGCCACTGTCAGTACGCAGTAAATTGCGAGCAGAAGGTGGCCCGCAGAAGGGGCCCAAGAAGCCGTGCAAGTCGGCTTCTTCACCAAGCCGGCTTCTCAAAGGCCACACCCTCGCTCTCGCTTGCCCCAATCCATCAGGGTTTCGTCGTCTCGTTGGATCGACACACGATACACGCCCTTTAGTCCGAAAGAACAAGATGCACAATTCCCGATTCAATCGCTCCCGTAATCAAAATCGATGCCCTTGCACCGGCGGGCGCCCAATCACGTCCCATTCCACACCTGGAAATATCTCCATTCGCCCAGCTGGATTCGGCAACAGTCGGGACTGGGGCGTGGTTACCCCTGTCCAGTACTTCCCACATACACAGGTCATCCACTCTTGGAGTCTTGACACAACAGACGCGATCACGATCCGTTTCCACGTCCCGACTGCGAGCAATGAACGGTTTGGATGAATGGGAAACACTGGTGGAATATTCACCCAAGTGCAGTCCTAAACCCCGGTGGGCGCAATGTTTCGGTCAACGTTCCACCCCTGCGTCCTGTCCGCCCAAAACCTTCTCCCGGCCGAAGGTCCCTGGCGCCGACTCGACGGCACCGCGTCCATGCATGCCGACGTCTGTACGTACTGTACCACCGCGCAATTCCCGTCCCTACATCCCGGCCACCATCTCAAAAAAAAGCCTGTCCTGACTCCGTCCAAACCTTGACGGCAAGTAAAAATGGCCAGCAGATGTGACGCATCAAGATCAAGCCAAAAAGCCAACGAGTCCAATGAGCGTTTTGCAGAAGATCTGCAGCGCCGTCTCGTCTCGTTCAGTTGCTGTGTCTGGTACAGCCATCTTGTCCACCGTCGCAGGTCCTAATATCCATTGTCAGCTAGACCCAGGAGCCCCAGTAAATCCACTTGACGAAACACGCACTCCCTTTGCTCCGATGCCACTTGCCGGGCGTGCGTGCCTCTTGGTACGGAGTATGACGAATGCCGTATCCAATGGTTCAGACTGCCTCCGTACCAGCCGGCCAGACCATCCTAGATGTCGACCCAAAATTAGGGGCGTTTCTGAGCCTCACTCACCGCACTTGTATCGGAACCGCATGGCTAGTTGGTCATCCATGACTTTACGATAATGCAACGGCAATCAACGGTCGCGAGAGTTCAGCCAGATACCGTGTCTCCCATCGACACGGCACGCAGCCGGATCGGCAGCCTTCCCACGGAGCCTTCGCAGGCACTGCCATCACAACAAGACATTCGGCACAAAATCTGGCATCCGTTGACAAGTCCCGGGGCAAGCCGCACAGGACACGAGGAGCAAGACAGTTCCCCCACACATGTGGAGGAAAACCGTGGGAAAGCAAAGCCGTCCAATCAGCGATGACGCCGGTAAATTGCCCCACCTTGCTGCGAAATTTCCACCCGGCCGGCGAAGGGTGGGGTCGCCGACCTGCTCCGATCCTGATGTCCGAATTCACCCTTGCTTGCAGCCCACCAAGCCGCAAGCTCATCCACACCATCGCTTGTCAAATCTCCAGCGACTTTCTCTTTCTGTCCTGACGTGTACTCCACAACTCACCGGCATGGACCACGGCTCCTCTTTTTGCACATCAAGGCAAATCAGGGGAAAGAAGCACGAGAGAGCAAAGAGGGGCAAGACGGGGCTGGATGACAAGTCAGATACTGCGTAGATAACGGGTGTGTTTCCGTTCGGAACACTGCTGCGTCTCCGCTTGCTGCTTACAATGTCACAATGCCTGCATCACGAATGGTTGGAAACGCACTTTTGAATGCGGGCGGATCAAGAATACAGCGGACAGTCAGAGTGGACACTCGACGCGAACGCGCGCAAGGCAAGGCAGGGGAACAAAACGGGATTAGTCCGCGCGGACGGTATCCGTTCGGAAACCTGCCTGGGTTGGTGGCCTCTTTTTACTCTTCTGACTGTGCTTCCGCTTACGCTGCCGCTTGCCTTGATTTTTTCCCATGGGGAAAACGCGGGACCTCCAACTCCACGATCTGATGAGCTTGGCTTTCCGTCGTCCGATACACTAATTTCGACTCCCACTCGGACTTGTGTATTAGTGATCCATTTTTCTGCGCATTCATCATTCGTAGTTCCGCCTCTTGCTTGGGTGATTGATTGTTTGACGGCGGCATGAAACATATTCCGCCTTCCACCACTTTGCCCACTCGCGCACTTTCTACACCGGGTGGGTTAATTAGCAAATGTGATCAACTGTACAATGCCTTGCCGACTATCGTGATATCTCTGTCGTGATACCTACACGGGCTACATCTATCCCATGCCAAAACACCCCATACGCAATCTAGTCAAATGCTTCACCCAACACGTAGACCCCCCTCCGTCTCCGCGTATCATCCACACTACACTACAGCGACCGCTGCAGCACATCACTTGCCCTCCTTACCGACATTCCCAACAGCCGGCGCCGCCTCGTTAGCCTTGTCCAACCTCGCGAGCGACTTGGCGTCCAGCCCGGCATACCACCGCCTAAGCAGAGCCGCATACCCCGTCTCCCCCTCAGACAGCTCCACAGGCGGGCCCCGAATCTGCGGCAAATCATCGCCAGCGTCCGCATCGGCACTGCCACCACCGTCCCCTCCTCCCTGACCTTCTCCCCCATGTCCGTGCCGTCTCGTCTCGAAAACGGCCCAGCTAGACCCGTCATTCGCCCTCAAGCCGAACCCGCTCCTCGTAAGCACCATGACGCTAAAGTTCCGCAACAGCACCGCGTCGCCCTGGCGAATCACGGGCAGCGCGGCCTTGTGCGGCCTGAAGATCTGCACGGCGACCGTCTGCGCGGGCGCGATGGAGTGGTCCGTGACGTTGAACGCCAGCATGATGCCGCGGGGCCCGCCCTTTGCGCGCTTCGCTTCGGGCGGGTTCGTGGTGGCGACGGCGAGCACGTCGACGGTGCGGCCCGGGTGGCTTCGGAGGACCTTGAGGGAGACGCAGTCCGGCACGTCGGCGCGGAGGGATCTGGTGAGCTGGGCTTTGAGGGCTGCGGAGGATTGTTCTGTTGGTTGTGATGTTGATGCTGCAGCACCAGACTCTTTTGAGGTGTCCTTGTCCTTGGCCTTTGATTCTTTAGTCTTGGCTTCTTTGGAGACAGTTTCCTTGCCCCCCTTGGTGACATTCTCCTTGGCGGTCTTGGGAGCTCGCGATGGTGACTTGATCGCGGCCCTAGCGGGCTGCACGCCCGTGTCCTCCTCCGCGTCCGCGTCAGGTGAATCGCTCTTGAGCGCCAAACTCGCCGACCTGCCTCGGCTCGTCGTCGTCGCTGCCGCCGCCATCCCTCGAATGGGAGCGGCAGCGGCGCTGCTGTGAATATCAGGCGTCGTGCGATCTGATAGGCGCGTCGACCGTCGAGAAGCAATCGACGCACGGGCCAGCTTGACGCTGGGATCCTGATCCTTGCTGTTGGTTCTGCGGTGGCCGCGACCTCCTCGCTTCGGAGTTGGCTGCGCGGCGGAAACGACTTCCTCCGATGGGTCCTCGGCGATAAGAGACGATTGCGCTTCCGACGGTTGCGCCGACGAGTCTCGGATTTGTGATGACTCTTCGTTGATAGGTGAGGGCGCATCTGCATCAGCTTCGCGGGGAATGACCGCTTCCTTCTCCATCTCCACCTCCTCCTCATCGTCTAGCAGCGGTTCGTGGGGTTGGACTGGGGCCGCTGCGGGGGACTCGGCGGGGCGTTTGTCGTCGAGATGCTCCGCCAATTGCTCCGCCTGTTGTTCACCATCGTCGGGCACAGTCACCTCGGTGGTCTGCGTCTCGACGAACGACTGTGAGAAGGATTCGACGGTTTGTGTGGCGCGCGGTGTCAACTGCTCGTCAACTTGTGAGGTTTCTTTGTCGACCATCTTCTCCTCAAACGATTGAGGCGTTGGCGTCGGTGATGCCATCTGTGTAGACTTGGCGTCATCCAGCTCGTCCACGTCCATTGCGTCTTCAACTTGCGCCTGCTGTGCGTCCGTCGTCTCCAGGGGCTCCGTGATGGTCGTTTCAACAGTCACCCGTGACGTCTCGATAACCTCAGTCTCCGGGTGAGCGTCGTCGGGGGCATCACCTCCCTGAGAGACTGGGCGTTCCTCGACCATCTGCGTCGTGGTGATGGAAGTCGTAACCGTTTGGTCTTCCTCGTACATCATTGACTCCTCGTACAGCTGGCTCTGGATGAGTAGGTCCTGGGTGGCATCGTCGAGCTCCATATCGGAGTCTGCGGCATTGCTGCTCACTTCTTCGTCGACCGACATGTCGTCTAGGTCGCCCATGTCAACGTCCGCTGGCTCCAGAGAGCCTTCGTCGTCAGATTTCATGTGCACCTCGACTGTAGCTTCTTCGATGTCCTGGACTGTAGTCTCATCAGGAATCAGTGAGACTTCCATGTCTTCATCGTCAGATTGAGGCTGCGTCTCTTCCACTTCCATCTTGGTGATCTCTGTCTCGTTGATCTCGACATGATCCGGCGTGGCCTCTTTGGTTGAGCTGCGTACTGTTGCTTCGACAGAGACTGTCTCTTCCACTGCTTCAGCCACGGTGACCTCGGTGTGTTCCGGTGATTGTTCTTTGGCCGCGACTTTGTCTTCGAGATCGGCTTGCTGCACTTCTTCTGTCTGCCCAGGCGCTTCAACATTGCTGGCTTCTAATTCTCGTGTCTGACGGCTGACATCCTCGACAGGGACTTCAGGCTGAACAGTTTCATCCTCTGGTTGGGCGACTTCAGGCTCGGCAGCATCCTCCACCCTTGCTTGGAGGCTTTCTGTGGTAAGAGCTTCTGATTGATCTGGCAGTGACTGACCCTCAGCTTCGTCTATGACCAACTCTTCAGGCTCAACGTCCTCCTCCTCCTCTGGCGCAATTGGGACGTCGGCAGCCTCAGTCTCTGGCTCTGATGACTCTTCAACAGCCGGAACAGCCCGAACGGGGCTGGACACCTCAGCTACGGGAGACTCAACAGCTGGTTTCTCCTTAGCAGCTGCGACAGGCCGAACGGGGCTAGATTCCTCCTCAACGACCGGGACAGGCCGGACGGGGCTGGATTCTTCAGCCATCGACTTAACGGCAGGTTTCTTCTTAGTAGCGGTGACAGGTCGAACGGGGCTGGATTCAGCCACGGGAGACTCAACGGCGAGTTCCTCCTCGACAGCCGGGACAGGCCGAACCGGGCTAGATTCCTCAGCCATCGACTTGACGGCCGGCTCCTTCGCAACAGGTCGGACCGGGCTAGAAACCTCCGCCAAAGACTCGGCGGCCGGTTCCTCGACAGCTGAGACAGGTCGAACAGGGCTGGACTCCTCAACCACAGGGGACTCAACAGCGAGCGTCTCCTCCCCCAGCACCTCAGAATCCTCGCCGTCGGTTCTGACTGGGCTAGATACGGCCTCCTTCGACGTTGCATGGCCAACAGGATCCTCGTTAAACGGACTGGATGCCGCCTGCTTCGGCATCGCATGACCGACGTTCTCATTGAACGGACTCGACCGCACAGCTCCCGTCTCTTCAACGCCCGTCAAGCCGTCTGACGGGGCCGGTGTCTGACGGTCACTCCCGGCATCATCAGCCGCAAGCTCCTCCTCCAACTCCTTTTCGAGCTCCGCCTCGAGATCATCCGATTCCCCTCGCGAGGTAGGCCGGGACGAGCTATGCGGAACGCCTGCCATGTGCGGCAGCTTCACCGGGCTCATCGTCTCGAAATCGTCGCCAATCGATCCCGTCGTCAGATCCGGGGCAAAAAACACTGCCGCCTGACGGGGCTTCGGTGTGGGTGTGCCGACTTGCGACGCCTCATCCTCTTCGCTCTCCGCATCAGACGGTTGCGGCGACGAGCCTTGTTGACTGGCCTCGTTCCTGGCACTTCCTTCCTGGCTCTCTTGATCGTCCATGTCCTCGTCTTCCATCTCATCGGCAGACCCATCGTACTGCGGTATCTGTCGCCGAGGAACCGCGGCGGGCTGTGGCGGTGGCGCGGGAGCTTCGCCCTCGTCCTCGGAATCCGAGAGCAAGTCGATGACTACCGGTGGCCCCCCTCGCGGAGCAGCAGGCGGCGGTTGATTCTCTTGGTCCTCGTCTTCGTCATAGTCCCCCTCATCGTAGCCCTCCTCATCGTAGTCTTCAGATTCTTCGCCCTCCTCGTCATCTTCGGGGTCCAGTATTTCATCTTCTTCTTCCTGTCCGTAGTCCGACTCCAGGTCTGTTCCTGCGTCATCATCTTGATTATTGCTGAGATTGCGGAAATGGGTAATGTCGTAGTCCCCGCCGGTATCGTCGGCCTCGTGCTCGGCTTCCTCGTCGCTCTCTTCGCTGCTCTCGCTGCTGCTACCACTGCCCACGGGACTGCTCTCCTTTTCTATGCTTGCGGCTTCTTCGCCTCGCTCGTGACGTCTCTCGGCGTATGTTCTCGATGCAAAGTTCTCCTCGGGGCCGTCTTGGTCTTCCGACATTTGGTCCTCCTCTACCCTAAGTGCTTCTTCATCCTCAGCATCGTCTCTCGCCTGACGCTCGCGGTCATCTTCCCATGTCTCGCCTTCGGCGTCCTGAGGACTAGACGCCCGGCCCTCACGCATTTCGCCAGACTCTGCAGGCTTCGCGGGCGATCTCGAGTAGTGTGCCGACGTGAGTCCCCATGGAATTTGCTGAGGCTCAGCGACCCCATCAACCATGACTGTGTGGTGGGGCTGCGCCTCCAGATCGTGCTGCTGCGGGTGGTCTTGGTACGCGGGTATCGGTTCTGCCAGCGGCTGCGACGTGACGACACCGTCTGGGCCGAAATGTGGCTCGTCGAGGAACGTCGTCGGGTAGTGACCATGCATAGGCGAGTGATCAAGCCCTGCCTCCGGGTATGCACTGGGTTGTTCGTGAAACGTGCCTTCGGCACCGTAGTGTGGCTCCATGTCGTGGCCAAAGACCGGATCGAGAGGCGGCTGCTGAAACGCCGTCGGGTACTGCTCGTGAGCGGATGTGAATATCGGCATAGGCGGCGGCGGTCCAAATCCAAGCGGGGTCAGCCCGATGTTGGGGCTGGGAGGCAGATCAGACTGAACCCCTGAATCGATCATTGTCGACTTCGACGGCGTCTGCCAGTACGAAGGATCCTGCCGCGCCTCTGCTGCTACCTGGACGTCTCTCGGGGGGCTCGTCTCTTGCTCCACTGTCTGGCAGGCCCCGTCCACCATCGTAGGCCGTGACGGCGTGGCAATCGTCGGCTGCTCCTCAACCATTGATGTGTCTTCTTCCGCGGATGCTTCAGGCTCGGGGCTCGGAGTTCGACTGGCGTATGTCCAAACGCTGCTGTACCTGCCCGTCTTTGGCTTCTTCTTGGCCCGGGCCTTTGCTCCGTCGTCCGCCTCATCAAAGATGTCGAGGACCCCATCGAACAACGATCCGTACGAAACTCTGGCACGCTTGAGGAACGCGGGGGACGCAAACTCGTCGGCGCCAAGACCTTGATCGGCGGCTCTCTTGCTCAAAGGTGTTTTCGCGGGTGTCGCTATCGGCCCCGGGGTCTCTTCGACATCCTCGAACGTTTCGAGGATAGACACCGGTAGCTCTTCAGGCTCCGGCTCGGGTTGTGCGGGGTGGTCGACATCGATAACCTTGACCTCTTCGGAGTCGCTTATTTTCGCCTTTGTTGTCTTAGCAAACACCCCCCTCCAACGCACACGCTTAACCTACCTGGAGAAGCACCCTCTCCGTAAACCTCAGCTGCCACTCCAAACTCGTACCCGGAACGCGCGTCTTGGAGTCGTCCGCAACGAGCTCGACCCCGTCCAGCGACAGCGCAATCTCGTCGCCGCTGCCCAGAGCCGCATCCGCAATCGCTTTGGCGCTCGAGCCGGCAAACTCGACGCGCACCTGGCCCTTGGCGCGACGCAGGCGGAAGTCGGCCTCGGCGAGGAGGAAGGCAATGTTCTTCCTAACGATGCTGTAGGGCCACGTGATTGTCACGACGCCCCGGACGACGCGCGTCTTGGGGTCCTGGAGCGCGGGGCTCAGTTGCGCGATCGCGATGGCCTCGGCGGCTTCGAGCTGCTGCTGCGCTGCGGGTTGCGGGACCCCAGACATCGCGTCATGAGTTTGAAGGGGACGCGGCGGAGCTGATGAGTGTGTATTCGGAGATGCCGAGCATCAGCGGGGTGTTGTCGCAGTGTCGAAGGTGTGGTTGTGTTAAATGAATGTGGGATGGAAACGGTCGCAAAGGTCGATTCGGTAGCACCGCATGGTCGTGGTGTGGATGGAATGTGGAACAAGGGAAGCTCCTGCTTGAGCTGCACGAATTGCGCGGGAAGGCCCCACACCTCTGTGGCAGAAAAAAGCAGGCGGTGTGCGTGACTGCCGGATGGCTCGTTATCGATAAACGGGGCTTCGGAGCCGGCTGGCCTTCCGGATCGTCGCCGAGTCACCTGACGACCTGCCATGGGTCGACCTTGCGCAGATTAACCTTTTGGACATGGACTCCGGACCAGAAGAGGTAGGCCATGGTAGACATGTCATTGTTGTCATCTCTCTCGCCCAAGCATCCGATTGCGTTGGCTTTGCGACGTTGATGTAGGGGAGCGGAGGGAGTACCCGTTTTACCCGCCCGGTGTCCACCACTCTGTCCGAAAAGGAACCGATTAGGTGATTTCCCGCCGATATAACGCGTTGGCACCTCGTGGGTCCAAGACTTGTTGTCTATAGTTTAAAGAGCGGCCACTAGATCATTTTTCCGTTGCATAGCACCTAAGGTCATCCATGTCTCACAGACCATGACAATCCCGTTCACCGTCAAGAAGATCGCCATCATCGGCGCGGGGCCGACGGGTCTCGCAGCCGCTCGGTACCTCACGGCGCAGAGGGTCTTTGACTCCGTGGTCGTGTTTGAGCAGCAAGCCGAGGTGGGCGGTGTCTGGAACTACAGCCCGCACCCGACCACGTCTCGCCATGTGCCGCAGACGGACCCCTTTTGCCCGCAGGACCCTCCGCTTCGGCCGAGCAAGCCCGATGCGCCGCCCGTGTTCCCCACACCAATGTACGGCACGCTGCACGCCAACACGGTCAAGACGACAATGAACTACAAGGACACACCGTTCCCGGACGACGCCTGGGTCTTCCCCTCGCGGCAGTCCATTTACAACTACCTGGTCGAGTACGCCAAGGACGTCCGCCACCTCATCAAGTTCTCGCACCAGGTTACGGCGCTCGAGCTCCGCCAAGAGGACGGCCGAGACAGGTGGGACCTCGGGGCCGCGTGCACCGTCACCGGCCGCAAGTTCAGCGACACGTACGACGCCGTAGTCATTGCCAACGGACACTACGACATCCCCTTTATCCCGGACGTCAAGGGCATTCAGGCCTTTCACGAGGCGCACCCGTCAGCAATCCTACACTCCAAGAACTACCGCGTGCCGGAGCCCTTTTCAGGCAAAAAGGTGATTGTCATCGGCAACGGGCCCTCGGGCTTGGATATAGCCCGCCAGCTCAGCCCGGTCTCGGACAGGGTGTATCTGTCTGTACGACATGCGACTCCGCCGGACAAGGTCGAGCACATTGGGGTGACGGAGGTTCCAGAGATTGTGGAGTATTTACCAGAGAAGAGGGCCGTCGTCTACAAGAACGGGACAGTGGCGGAAGATGTCGACGCCGTCATCTACTGCACCGGCTTCTTCTTCAGCTTCCCATTCTTGCCCGAGTTCCTCAAGCCAAATCTGTTGACGACCGGCAAAGGCGTCAGGGGCCTGTACCAGCACCTGTTCCTCATCAAGCACCCCACTTTAGCCTTTGCCGGGCTGCTGGTCAAGACGGTGCCCTGGCCCGTGGCGGAGAACCAGGCGGCGGCTCTGGGTGCGGTCTGGTCCAACGGGTTGAAGCTGCCGCCTGTGGAGGAGCAGGAGAAATGGGAGCTAGACTTGTTCAAGAGGCGCGGCGACAAGAACATTCACGTGCTGCTCGACGACGGAGACGACGGCCGCCACCTCAACATGTTGCACGATTGGGTGGCGGAGTCGACGCAGAGAGGCAAAGAACCGCCATACTGGCACGACGAGCAGTTCTGGGAGCGCGGTATCTACTGGCCAAGCAAGCAGGAGTTTGAGAAGCGAGGAGGGAGCGCGACGAGTCTTCGGGAGCTTGGCTTCGTGTACCCCGGCATAGGGAAATGGAGGCACGTTGCGCCGAAGCTTTGATGGGCCACAAGCATAGAATCTAGATTTAGCGAATGCAAGACTTCACGATTCCCAGGATGAGCAGGATGATGACTGGCTGCGATCGCGAGACAATGGCGCAACGTCCAAACGCTGTCACTCCAGTGACATGGGAGGTCCAGAGCTCCCTTGACAGTATCCGCCCTCTGGAGCTCCTTTGAGAGTCAAGCTCAGACAACCCCTCGTGTTCAATCTGAGAGCTCCAGGATGAGGTAACCGAATGCAGGGTAGCGGGACAGGGGGAGCTGTCAGGCGAAATGGTACCGAGCGCGTTTCCGGGCCAGCGAGCGACTGTTTAATGACGACGGGTGGGACACTTTTTTTCGGTGGACAATCTGAGGAAATGAGCAGAACCGGACTCCGTACACTGGAGTCAGTCGCGTCTTGGCCAGCTCTCGTGCGATGGAACAATCCTTTGGTCATCGCGATCTGCTGGTGCGTCCGTATGAATCGAGGTCGAGGAGGCTCCTAGGCATGCAAGTATCCCACGGTTCGACGGCTGGCGATGCGTCTCTGTCCAATCATTCCGGGTCCCCCAGCTGGATGCGTGATAGCAGGGCAAATAAGGTGACCGCAGTGGGGGGATTGATGATCGCCGGAAGCGATGGAAGCAGCCGATGGGCTGGCGCCACGCTCTGACTTTGTCCGCCTGGCGTGGCTGATCAAGCTGCAAAGTCTGCGCCTTGAGTTTGCCAGCTCGCCACTAGTGATAAAGCTTGCCGACAGCTTTCAGAGCTCTCTGGCAGTCTAGGTTGACATTCGCCGTCCGTGACCACGGCCGTGGGCCATGTTACCGTGCAAAACATGCACGTCTGGCAGGGAAACTCTCTGCATCCGAGCGTCGAGTGGCAGTGTCGTGCAGCCTGCCATCTCATGTCGTGGAGAGAACGTGCGAGGGTACAGAGTGGTGTCTGGAAGATGGTCAATGTGTGTTCTTGTCAACCTAGCTGAGAACGCGAGAATATCGCGAATGCAGAATCAGAGCCCCTCAAAGTCTGTCAAGGACTCCCGGGCAGCATGCTGGCCCAGGCGGTGGCTGCATCAAGTCGAGACAGGGACACCCATCGAAGTCCCAGCATGACGGGCACGGAAAGACGTCAAGATGCGGCGGACGCATCACATAGCACCACTCTAGGGCATGGATGTTCTCTGCAGCCATGCAGGAAGCGGATTGCACCAGGGTCTTCAGCGACGCGCAGTCCGGTTCCTTTCTAACGCGCTCCCAATGCAAACGGCGCAAAGGCCGTCTCGCGACACGTCAGGATGTGCGGTGCTAGAGGCGAGTTGCCGTGGCAGTTGAAGCTGCTGTGGGTGCTGTATCCGTACAGCTGTAGAGAAACCAGAAAGGCACGGACGATGCAGACAACGACTACGCGGACGATGCGGATGGACGTGGAGAGATGTCGGTGGCCGAATCGATAGTTGTGATATTATTAGGAGCGTGTGTTGGATTGTCGAGACCAACTGGGCTGGACTGGCTGGCGAAAGCCGCGAAAGCGCGTTTGCATGACGGGGGTGCTCTGGAGGCCTATTAACCCAGAACAGCGGCCACTCCACCCCATCACCCACACGCATCGCCGCATTGGTGGACCACCACGACGCCCAGGTTCTTTTCAGGTGGCAGGACAGGCAAGAGGTACCTCGCCCACTGTTGTCCCTGCCTTCGGGTACCTGACTTTGGTCCGCATTCCCACTGGGCGTGGTGGATGGCCCAGCACAAGGACTACAAGGTCCCTGGCCATCCCCGTATGCGGCAACCAATATCCATCAAATCTCATTAATAAATCTCCTCTTTCTTTCGACAACGCCAGACACCTAATCTCCTTTTGCCGACTGCTCCTTTGCCTTTGCGCCTTGCCCTTCCCTTCTTCCCCCAGTGTCATCTGTCGTCTCATCGCGCCAGCTTCAATTCTCTAACTTCGCGAAACATCCTCGTTCTTTCACCAACGACCTTCCTTTGATCCGCTTCTCTCTTTGAATCCTCACCAGCGACCTTGTCTACCTCACCACTCAACCTATCCGTTCTTTCTTATTCTTCAGCAACGCAGCTGCCTTGAATCCCTGCGCTCCCTTGCGTTAGGGAACTGCGCCGCGCCTACGACCATTGACGTCTGCCGTCTGGAACATCCTGCAACCACCCGAACGACAACCCGAGCAATCGACGTCTTTCCAGCAACCTCCAGAGACCGGAGCCAGGAACGCGAGACACCACCGAGACATCAGTCAGCCGGATAGGGACGTCCATGATTGTCAACAAACACCACCGATGATCCACGACATGGCCATGCGCATCCAAGACGTCTTTTTCCCAGGTTCATAGAAGCAAAGGTCATGCCTGCCTACTCGACAGATCAACCGCTCGTTCGACAACCGACAACAACTACTCAGCAATCAATATCATGACCGATCCTCCGCCGCCCATCACCCCGGGGCCGGGCCACCAGCTACGCCCGGCCAGGCGCCAGTACCGCCACTCCGACGAGCACTCGCCCACCCGTGCCCGAACCAACGACGACCTCTTGAGCCGCCTTACACCACTGACCGCCGTCGAGATGCTCCAAACACCAAACACTGAACTAAAACAATGCCTCGACAACTCTACCGTCAACGAACAGGAATTCGCCATGCGCGCTGCCGTGGCCAGCCGCAAGATTTACGAATGGCTGGAGGAGCTTTCCGACTGGCCCTGGCCTTCCGCCAGCGGCTCGGCCGGTTTTGAGATGCCAGAGGCAAAGCGGACAAAACTCGACGAGGATGCCGACGAGTCGGTGTACCTCGGGAGCCTACCCGCCGAGAGCGTCGCCCAGTACGAGCAGCGCGTCGACGGCATCTCTCACGACATGGACGAGCTGCACATTGAAGAAATCAAGACCCACGTCATGCACACCCATATCATTCCGCTTTCGAGACCCGGAACGCCGTTGTCTCCGACGCGGCCCATTGGAGGCGGATCACTTACGTACAACCGAATGGACGACTTGACGGCTCTCCTCACGGCAATCATCGTCCAGGCACTGCCAAATCTGTCCAAGCTCTGCCGACTGCTGAAAGTCTGGCACATCCGCCTCTCTGTCCTCCGTCGCATACCCGATCTGCTGTCTGGCATTGCAGAGGCAGAGTATGCCCTCGAGTCGGCATGGGACGTGTTGTCGTCTCCCGCGGGAACGCCATCCGCCGAAGAGGGAGCCCAGGACACCCACTCCCAACTCAAACACGCCGTCACTGTTGTCAAGTCAGTGTTGGAGACGCAAATCACAAAATCCGGACGCAGCCTCGATTTCATGCTCGACAGTCTCGAGGGGCTGCAGGATACACTGCCCGACGCCTGGCTTGACCGTATGGAAGCCGTCGAGCGCAACTACGCCGACTGGGTGACCTCGGGCGAGCAGAGGATCCGACAAGGGGACTGGGCTAGCGTACGTCAACAGAAAGCGCTTCCACCGGTGATCAGAGAAGAGGCCGAGGCGGAGCCCACGAAATCCATTGGCCTGCCTGTTGTGGAAGACGACGTCATCACTCTGCCAGTGCCCATCACCATTAACCCACCCGAAGACGACAGCCAGCCTGCCTCTGATGATGAGGCCACTCCGGAGCAGTCTGACGGTTCCGAGGACGACACAATCGAGCTGTCTCCCTCGCAACTGCAAGCGCAGAAGAAGACGCAGCCAGTCGCCGGCCTTGACGGCTCCAGCGAGGCTACAAAACCCAAACGGACGCCACTGGGCGAAGTGCAAAACGAAGAACACACCAAAAGAAAGGTGTCGGGCAAGGAATCCGTCGTGTCGAAGCTTAGAGCAGTCTTTGAAAGCAACGCCAGGTCCAGCTCTGACGACGCGGACGAGATTCTGCCCGACGATGAAGAGATGCAGTTGCCACCGCTGATCCGACCCGACCGACGCGGAAGTGACGCTTCGGACTCGTCTACAATCATCCATGGCCACACGAGCCTGCTCGCAGATGCCTCGAGCGACATGCCCGAAGTCTCAGCATCGCCTCCTCTGCCACGCCAGAAGCGTGCCGAGACCCTGGGCCGCAAGTCGGCTGCTGACCGCTTCATGAGCATGAGCCCTCCCAGCTCTCCCCCGTTCCGGCCGAGCTACAGAGAAGACAGCGTGAGTCCTATGGTGAGGCCCCAAGACGAGGGTCTCCTTCCGGCCCTCCCTCTGGAGTCGTCATTCAACGAAGACGACTTTGATCACTCCTTTATCAGCATAGGAACGCCACGAGAGACCGGCAACAAGGAAGACGACCACCTGCGAAAGCAAATCAGCGACATTCTAGAGTCTATCCCCGCCAACATCAAGCTGGCCAGAGCGACACCCAAGGTGGACTTGAACCCGCCGCCGCCCGATCTGCCCACCCTGCCGGCCAAGAGGCTGAAGAAGCCATCCCGGGAGACCATGCGGAGGAGCGTCTCTGCCATGTCGACGACATCGCGGACATCTTCGCGGGCGACGACGCCGTGGCTGACGCTTGCTCCCGCATACGCCAAGAACCCCAGGCCCAGACGCCCTGGGAGCGGACAAGACGTCAGGGTCTACCACCTCTCGCGGTCCACCGGCGAAGCACCCATCAAGCTCCTCATCCGCTGCGTCGGCGAGCACGGCGAGCGCGTCATGGTGCGTGTCGGGGGTGGATGGGCCGACCTCGGCGAGTACCTCAAGGAGTACGCCTCGCATCACGGCCGGCGCTCTGCCGGACCGGTAGAGAAGGCCGAGATCAAGGTCCAGGACTTGCCGCGTGCGAGCAGCCGTGCCGCGAACTCGAGCCCGCCGAGTCGGCCAGCCTCCGCGCTGGAAATGTCACCCATGACGCCGCTCAACGTCAGAAAGTCTAGAAAGTCTTTTGGCGCCGGCGACTCATCGGTACCCCGGCTCCTCCCCAACACGCCTGCCGTCCCGCCGATCCCGGACAAGTTCACGCCCACGCCGTCGTCGGAGGACTCCAACCGGTCCCGGTCGAGCTCTCACATCAGCTGGGAAGAGGACGAGAGCTCGTTCCTTGGCCTGGCAGGACCCACTGGCCGCAAGGTTGAGATGAGCGAGGAGAATCGGGCGTGGGTGGAGAGCGTCAAGGAAAAGGTGCGTGCCGCTAGCGGCGAGACGCGCAAGATTTCAGAGTTTGGCGATATGGGCAAGGTCGGCGGCACGAAGCGTGTGTTTCGGAAGGGCTAGGCTGGGGGTCTGAATTGGCGTTTACAGCGACTTGGGGTGCTAAGAGATATCGACACGATGGGACGGAGTCAAGCGACTGGTGTCGAAAGCATACCATGACGGAAACATTTCATTACATCATATCGAGGCAGGGGGGGAACGCTTCATCACAACGGCATAGCATGGCCTGGTCTTTTTTCCCCACATTTTCTTCCGGTTGTCTTCATCATCCCCTCGAGCGCAGGATTTCCTTTTGCGGTCCCCGTCATTCTTCGTACGAATACCCCCTTTTTTTTTTGCTTCGCCTTGAGGCATGTGCCCGGGCATGTGCTAGGCATAAAGAGTCAGATAGTTGAAATACCAGAAAACCATTTTACATTACCGAGGTGTTGCGTGAAGGTGAAGATGGCAGCGATGGAGGCTTGAGGTGGATTGGATGCGCAGTTCCGTCGGTAGTCGGAGGAGGTCGGGAGGCTCCGGGTATAGTCCCGCGTGGGGGCCGGGGCCTGACATGAGGTAGTACCACGCACATGGGAGGAGGAACGTCGCTGCAACCCCGGACTAACGCGAGTGCGGAGGATCACGGGGCATGACGGCAGATCCTCCATCCACCTCACCACCACCACCACCACCATCACCCCTGTCCGCCGTACCACCCACCCGTCCACGCTATCCACAACTTTACCTTGCATGCACCATACTCCGCGCCCGCCCGCTCCATCCCCCAGATAGAACTGTACGGCGCACAAGACCGGGGCCGGGCGGCGTAATCAAGCTTCGCCGATGGAAGTGGTGTGGGGGAGAAGGCGACTGCGAAACGACTGGGGGTTCTCGGTTTCTCTCACCACAGTACAGAACAGGTAGTTACATGGTGTACTTTTCTCAACCCCTACAGGGGCGGTGGCACAGCTCTCTCAACATCTAGACCGAGGCACCGGCGCGATGGGGTTGGAACCGGCCGAGGGACCTGATCTGAGGTGAGAAAACGGTGCCGCCGCGGGTTGGGGAGAGGGGGAAGAAGAGGGGGGGGGGGGGGGGGGGGGGGGGGGGACGGCGACGGGGGGGGAGGAAGGGGGGGGGGGGGGGGTGGGGGGGGGGTGGGGCGGGGGGGGGGGGGGGGGGGGTGGGGGGGGGGGCGGGGGGGGGGGGGGGGGGGGGGGGGGGGGGGGGGGGGGGTGGGGGGGGGGGTCCGTGGAGTAAATCCCGAGGCGGGACCGAATGGAGCTTTGCGTGTATGTGGTATAGAGCGTCGATGTCTTTTGACCATCCGATGTTTTTTCTCTTCGACTGCGGAGAGTTGGTGTTTGTTGTGGGTGGTTCTGCTGGATGTATTGTCTACTTCCTTCGCCCGAACACCTTTGACAATCTGAAGCTGCAGCCAG